ATCATCTGTAAACCTGAAATTATGAACTAAAACTTTTAAAATTAAACACAAAAGGAAATCTTTTTTTCTTTGAGTTAGGCTAAGACTTCTTAGATACGACATCAAAAGAATGCTCCATAGGAAAGAACTGATAAACTGGATTTCATATAATTTAAAACTTCTGCTCCCAGAAATACATTAGAAGAAAAGACATGCCATAGATCATGATAAAGTATCTGAACATCTCATATCTGAGGAAAGATTTATATTCAGAATATATAAAGAGCTCTTGAAACTCAATCATAGGATTCCTTAAAAAACTGGAAATAGATTTACCATATGATCCAGCAATCCCACTCCTGGATATATCCAGAGAAAAATTCTCATTTGAAAAGATACATGCACCCGAATGTTTACAGCAGCACTATTTACAACAGCCAAGACATGGAAGCAAATTAAATGTCTATCAACACATGACTAGATAAAGAAGTTGTGGTATATATATCATACAATGGAATATTACTCAGCCAAAAAAAGAATGAAAAATGCCATTTGCAGCAGCATGGATGGAGCTAGAGATTATCATACTAAGTGAAGTAAGTCAAAGATATCACATGATATCACTTATATGTGGAATCTCAAAGAATGATACAAAGAAACTTATTTGCGAAACAGAAACAGACTCACAGACATAGAAAACAAACTTATCGTTAAAAAAAGGGGAAAGATGGGCAGGGAGGGATAAATAAAGACCTTGGGATTAACACATACACACTGCTATATAGAAAATACATCAACAACAAGGTCCTACGGTTTAGCACAGGGAACTATACTCACTATCTTGTAATAACCTATAATGATAAAGAATATGAAAAAGAATATAATTTGTGTAACCGAGTCAGTATGTTGTACACCAGAAACGAACACAACATTGTAACTATACTTCAATAATAAAAAGAAAAAATCTCAGTCATAAGAAAGCAAACAGTAACAACAAATCTGGACAAATATCACTTCTCTAGTTAATGTCTTTTAATAGCACCCAATTTCCTGTCAAAATGGCAGGCAAGGTCCTTTATGATCCTTTCTTTGTCATAAAGCTATCTTCTTTTTGGCAGTCTCAAACAGCCTCCCTCCCTGCCAAACACTGACACTCTCTCATCTAAAGGATTCTGAATGTGCTCCTCCATATACCTCCCTCATGCTGACTTCTCAGTTCTGACCTCACTTAAATCTATGAGCCCTCAGAGAACTCATCATCAGCCAGTAAGTCTTTCCTCACCCACCATGAAGGAGCTATACGTTATATACTCCTTTAATGTATTCTCACATAACTTACCACACTATTTTGTAACTGTATCATCTGTCTCCGCTACGTACTAGAAGGACTGTGTTGCTCACTGTTACATCATATAATCCAGCAGAGTGCCAGCCATACCAAAGGCCCTCATGAAATAAGGAAGACAGAGGGAGGAACAAAAGGTGGACCCAGCATTCATGTATTACAAGTGGCCGCAGGGTAAATGTTTAAAAATTTCAAGGTTGATGACTTTCTTTAGACACAAGACAAAGTATAAACTACAAAAGTAGTCTTTCTTCTATAGACTGGAAATTAAAAAACGATGATTTCTAGACCTGATTCTGAGAGTGGCCGGACAATTGATCCTGGCCAAGAATAACAAAGACAGTAATAATGTAGCCAATATCAACGAAACACCAGGATGGGCCAAGTTCTAGTCTAAGCACTATGCAAATCTCATGTCAAATAATAGCCATGACGAGCCTATGAAGTAGGAATTACTTGTGTATACGTTCTATAGATGAGAAAAATAAGGCCCAGAGAGGTGAAGGGACATCGCACACTAACACAGGGAAGTGACAAAGCCAGGGATGATTCAGGCAGTCTGACTCCGGAGCACACGCTTGTAACTTCTCTGCATTAGGGTTAACTTGCTTTCCCCTTCAATTTTTAATATGGAAAAAAAAAAAGAAGAGAGAGAGAAAGAGAAAAAGAAACACACAGATCCACATTAAAAAAAAAGGCTGAACTAAATTATTCTTAAGAAACCATTCAGCTATTATTTTTGTTAAATTAAGTTTAGTTATTTCAAATGACATCTCAAGAAATACGATTTGAAAACCATGTGCAGGATACCATTTCTACACTTTACATGTTTTTACCTAATATTTATATGCCCGTTTACTGTTCAGTTTTTTAAATAGTATTTTATCATACTGGATGGCTTGTGATCCTCCAAATGTCCCGCTGTAGTCCTGAGAGATCTTTACCAAATACTTCCCAATTGATGAACATGGGATGTCTTTCCCTTTATTTAGGTTACTTTTAATTTCTTTCAGCAATGTTTTATACTTTTTGATACACAAGTCTTTCACCTCCTTGGTTAAATTTATTCCTAGGTATTTTATTTTTAAGTTGCTATTATAAATTGAATCACTTTCTTAATTTACTTTTTGATTGTTCATTGCAGGTGTACAGAAACACACCTGATTTTTGTGTGTTAATCTTTTAACCTGCAACATTGCTGAATTCATTTATTAGCTCTGATATTGGCTAGCTTTGACAAGGCATAGTAAGGAAACAGTCAGTACTGAATTCACAAGAAAAAGACAAATCACAGACACCGAATTGTAGATAATAGAAAAAGATTAGAATCTGGGGACCTGCAGGGACAACCACCTCCCCAACTTCAACTTACAAAAGAAATAATCGAAAAGGTCTTTGAGCAACGAAGATCAACCAAATTAAGCCTTGTAGCAAGTGTTAAACCAAGTGCATGTTGCTCACACCCACTGTTGAAGATACAATATATTAAAGTGTCTGTAAGCAAAGAGCCAGTAAGGCTGTGACTGTTCTGTATATGCTTTCTTTTGGACCAAAAGGTTTGGGGAAAAGAGATCACTGAGACTTCTTCAGGCTTGATAAACGACATTATCTTTAATTAGAAAAAGACAGACAGACAGGAAAGCGTGAGAGTGAAAAGCATATAAACATGTGAAATCCAGACGGTCTTGCAAATAACTGTGGGTTTGCATTTGATGAATGGAGCGGACTGTAACCAAGGAGATAAGCCAAAAGAATCATTACCCTGAACGCTGCCCATCTGCTGCCCTAAAATCACTCACCACTTCCAAATCATTATAAATAGGAAGCAGGTTGACAAATGGTATATCTCTAATACTCACATTAGATACAGCCAACAAAGATACTGCAAAAAATAATTAAATCTACAAGATCATAAAGAACAGTGGACTAGAGACCCTGTCCCTAAACCCAGAAAACGGAATGATGGTAAATCAAAGAGCAGTCCTACCCCCAGAGCAGAGATTCTTATTGGATCTGTTCACTGAGATTTTAGAATTGCCACATACTCGTGACAGCTGTCTGTCTGGCTCCCCATCTATGCTTCGGAAAGTACGTACAGTACACGCCTACCTTCATCCCACCACGATACCCCACATATGCTGGGGTAAACGACAAGTACTTCCATTTCTAGTTCCTTAGGTCAGAAAGGATATGCATCCGGACCTGGTCATGGAGAGACGGCAGCACATCATTCCCCACCTGTCACCCAGAGACCCTGGACTTCTGAGCCTGAGGCCATAGCCAGGTAGAACTTTCCGATTTTCTCCCATAGGAACAGATAAGCAAATCTGCCTGAGAGATGGAGACTGGGAATATTTGGTGACCAAAAGCGCAGACTTAGTGTATTAGTGCTGTTTATCAAATATTTCCTGCCCTCTCCCTTCCAGGTTCCTAGAAGGACCTCACCACCTGCCCCCATTATGAGTGAGTGGGGCGCTGTCAATATGTAAGTGTCACTTCCAGTCCAGGAGACTGAGCTGACTGACTGGCAGGGAATCTGAGTGAGCTTGCTTGCACAGTGCAAGATAACAGGAAATGTTCCACACAGGAACTACACTCAGGCTAGTTTCTAGGATGAGGATAACATGAGACTGAATCCCAAACAACCCTCAATATATATGCAGAATTAGTAGGATATACATCTGTGCCGTCTGAAGCCAGAGGGTTTAGGGCATAACATGGCTTGTCCTGGCCAATACATGCCTCACGCTGTTCCACAGCGTTATGGACCTTAATTCTTCTCTGTGAGTCTTCTATCCATTTACAAAGTCACATACTTCATACTACTGACGACCTGGTATTTCTCCACCCAAAGGAGTATAATTGTTACATCGAATTTATAAAATTCCCTATATATTTCCTCTTGTAAGCCATCTACTTAAAATATACTGAAAATAACAGAACTAACCCCAATCTTGGGGATGGAGTGGCATGTTTATAAATCTTCGTTTCAATCCTAGACCTTATTTTTTCCTATTGGTATATTTTCTTCCAGTGATAAAAAATAGGTCCTTTATCTAGCTGATTTTATTTTTACCTACCAAGTTTTATGCTATTCAGAGGTGTTGTTGGGAACTTTCAGCACAAACTATTTATACTATGACACACATATATATATACTTTTCAACTGATTAATGTAAATCAGCTAATCATGTCTGCAATGCCTTCTAAAAACATTAAATCAAAAAATAGGGGAAAAAACACCAGAAAAAAAATAAAATAGAAACCAATTCCTATAAGCAATGAAAGGTAACTCAGACATAAGGGCTTCAAGTTCAAATAGTATTTATAAATCTTACATCACTAAAATCATTCAAAACCATTCCACACGCCATAGTACATTTATAGCCACGTCTTCTGCTTCTGCTATTTGGTGAATAATATGATAAGCCAGAAATTAGCATAAGAATTATCATTAATCTGGGGGAGAGCCACATATTTTAGGCCTTCAGTCCTATTTTTAGTCTATCGTAAAATTCCCAAATTTTAACACTGAGTTTACATAAGCATATTTTTTTTCTCCAAAATACACCATGGAAAGTAAATGGCATGAAACTGAGCAAACAGTTACAGAGCCCTCAGGGGAAGAGAGTCAGAAGAAAAGTATAAATATACAATGGATGTGCGATTTTATTACCTGAGTATTTAACAGCTCCTCACACTTGTGTGCTTGTTTCTCAATTGCAGAAATGTACTGTTTTTCAATTGCTTCTACTTGTTGCTTAACTGAAGACTGCAGTAGTGCCTAAAAACAAGCAAAAAAGTCATTTGGATCACAGACAAAGCTTGGGTGTCTACTGTTGGCACGAGAATTTTGTTGAAGGTTGTACATATCTGAAATATGATACCCTTCTGCATTACAAAATACACATTTGTGAATATAAAGCACATTCATATATAACACAACTTAAAGCTTTCGGTTTTAGGTTTTCCTGTTGCCAAGATGACAGTTTTTTTGGCTCAGATGTTCCTTCCACACACCTTCTCCTAAAATAGGCCAAGTCATAGAAGATGATAAAGAGGGTGAGCAGTTCTGTTAAATATAAATTCAGTTTAGTGAAGACCACACAGGACGAGGAGCATATGAAAGCTGCTGAAAAAAAAAAAAAAAAAAAAGAAAGAAACCAGACATATTTCACTGGCTGACAAAACTCCACATCCTCTCGGCACACTGTAATATCCCATGGGCCAAGCATGATCTTCAAGACCACAAGTCAAGTAAAAGCAGATGGAAACTCTGAGCAATTTCTAACATAAAAGAGCTGCCCCCCAGGAAGTTCACGCCCCTAACGTGAAAAGGTAGAAGTCCAAGTGTGGAAGTCAGAAGCTCAAGGCAGCATTCACGAAATGTAATAAAACTTGGGAGGCTAGACAAACTCCAGTGGGCAGTGTAAGTGCTGGAACCTCAGCCAGCTAAATATAAAGATGTTAACACTGTTTTAAGGGAAGCCAGATCAGCATTTGAAGACGTTCCACCCACTCACTTCCTTATTGGAGATGCTCGGAATATTATCATCTCTTCTCCTTTCCCTTTTTTTAAAGGCATTATATGTTATAGTTAACATATTTCTAATAGCATCTTACATGCTATTTATAAATCCCAAATCATTCTAAAATATGCACTTCACCATATACATAAGAACTCTTCAGCAAACATTCTATTTTGAAGGTCTATCTGGATAATAAACTACTCATAATCAAAACAGTAAGTTGAAACAGACACATGTCTTATAGAAAACAGACCTTTGGCACATTCACCAAGAAAAGAAAAATAAGCCAAATCTCTTAAATAATCTCTGTTTTGAAAATAGATTTACTTGGTTAGGAACAACATGCAGTAAGAGGCTAAATAAATATGCATGTGTTTTAAAAAAACTAAGGCCAAAGTATTTCTAACACTTCTGGGTAAGTCCCAAATCTTTAGATAATTAATTTTCTTTTGCAAATGTTGAAATGTCTGATGATGCTACGACGCCTATAATTCAATGGCCGTCACTTTGAAGCTGCAGAATTACTTGAAAATTAGTAAAAGAAAATAAAGCTGTGACTGAGGTTTAACTAAAACATAAAGGACTGCTAAACAGAACAGCTTTGGCCCTCCATTTATACATTACACGTCCTCTAAAGATCCATAATGGTAACTTGTGAAAGACACTAAAATTTAACCTCTTAAATTGTGATTAGATAAAGCTCTAATTTACCTTCGACAAAATATAATACACTATTTGTCAGACTTCAGAAAACTTAAAGGATGCAGAGCTATAGAAAATTCTCTTGGGCAGATTCATGGCATCTTCTGTAGACAGGAAAGTGCCATTCTTTCTGGGGACTTGGGTTACGGCAGAATTGTTTTGTTTCATGTTTTCACTTCCCTATTTGCCAAGATTCCAAATAATCTCAGTTTGAATACCCAATTGTGATGTTTTCGTAAACTATATCCTTTGGCAGGACAAGTAAGTTAATGAAATAAAATAGTATTTTCCCCCATAATTAAGAAACACAATTGAAAAGTGTTTTTTTTCCCTCTAGTGATTGATTTGTATGATATATACTCATTTTCTTCTAAACTTCAAGGAGACGAGCACATAGGATAATGAGTCATGTAAGGGCCAAAGCTGTGGTTATGAAAAATGGAGAAATACTAAGCAAAGACAACCAGTTTTCAGTATAGTTCGAACTTCTCATCGTAGCCTTCTTCAGTTATTTATATGTACCCACCTACAAAAGGGACATGAAGGTAGGTAATGAAAACATTAAGATTAAAAAAAAAAGTCTGTCCTTAATGAATTCAGTCTATGTTGAAGAGAAACATTCTCTAGATAATCACACAACATAGGTGTGCAAGGGATGTATCAGAGACAGAAAAGATGCCCGAAGCCTGCCTGGAAGGCTCATTCCTATTCACAGATAAGAGCTGCTGGAGTTAAGAGTGGAGGCCAATAGCAAGGCAGGAAGGCAGAAAAGCAGGCAGGTGCAAGATATTAAAAGACCTTGTATGCCATAACAAGATTGTTTAAAAAACTGGGCTATAATACTCAACAGTGGAACTGTTCGTGCCACAGTCCAAACAAAGGACGTAACTTCCAAAAAATATCCCTAGAACTAGAATATTAATCATTATGAACATACTTAGAAATACAGCTACATGCTTTCATGGCTTGTATCATTATATAACTGGATACTTATTTTCCTATGTAATGTACTATAGTAGTTGCCTTTCAATTTCTTGTGTGTTGTACTTATAAAAATGAACACCTTTCCCTGCACTTTTTTTCCCTCTATAATTGTCCCTACAGATATCAGTGACACAAAGAAGCCTTCCTTTGGGCTTAAGCAACACTACAAAAAGACACATACAAGAATTATTTCTTTTATAAGCTATTTTTAACTATTCTCAGGACAAAGCATTAAGACTCTCACGGTATGCAGTGACAGAAAAACAAAGATGTGCACTAACATTCCACAGTGAAAAAAAATGCTACCAAAGGCAGGGAATGTTCTATTAATTTTCAGCACGTTTAGGTCTTAGCCTCAGTCCTATCAGAGATTTTCCACATCGTCCCAGGGGATAACTCAACTGAGCTTGAAGAAAACTATTTACTAACACTTCTTCAGGAGTAATTTTAAAGGTGTGAACAAAATCGCAGATTTCTTCAGTACACGAACGATGTCTTACTCATCTTTATATATCACACACAGCTTCTCACAGGGCTCCTTATATGTGACAGATACATGCAATAGCTGTCTGGCGAGTGATGATCCTTGTATTAAGACTAATATTTTTTAAAATTATAGTATAGATGGTACCAATATTCACTGGAAAGTTCACTAAGCTTCAAATCATACCTACCAACTTCAGTTGCCAAATTTGTTGCCAAGAACATGTAACCTCATCAGAATTCAAAATTTTAAGTTATTATTTTAGACTAGAAATGTTCATTCTTTCTACTCCACAAGGACAAATTTTGAGTAAATAAAATAAAGAGTATGTGAAGGACTATAAACTCCTTGAAAAAAAAGGTGTATTATAAATTTTATAATGATTAGACAAACAGAAAATAAGGTATCAAGTCAAAAACCACCCAACCCCAACCAATTCCCATGAAGAGTAGATGGATTATTTTCAACGGAACTGAATGTACGCTGGAGTTGGAATGAGCAGAGAAGTGCAGCGAAAGAAGACGACTGCCACTGTCCCACCAAATCCACAGGATTTTTCTTCTCCTTTGAAATAGCCCAGTCCTTACAGATCTGCTTCCAGCCTCATCAAAGTAAACAACTTGTCCAGATTTGCAGGACACATGTGTCTACAGAAGCAGATGGTCTCTAAAACATTGGTATCATGTTGATATTTAGTATATAATTTTAAAAGAAGACTTCATAGCTAATTTTAGGCATTAGTAACTAAAATCATTTTAAAAGTCAATCCTCTAAGTCATACTTTATAAATGAAGGAAAGCATAAAACTATGGAGCAAGCTAAAGGCAACACAAATAATAAAGAGCCCCACTGAAAATTAAGCCCTCGGAGACGACGAATCTTTGTCTAATTCACGGATGTAGCCACTGTACCTACAACAGTACCTGATACACAGAAGACATTTGATAAATATATGTGAAATGAACCGAAGAAATGAGTCATGATTTCAGTATGTCCAAGCCTTATTACTTGCCTAATCATAGAGAAATTATTAAAACATTAAGTTAATTAAGTCTGTAATTATATTCTTAGTTTAGCTGTCTGACTGCAGTCATACAAACTAATTGTTGTAAAGGGTCATCTGAAATCAAGCACAATTTCAACTTTCTTGGAAAAACATCACGGTTTGCTTTTCAAAACTTTATTTCAGTACAGACTTCTGGTTACCAGGGGGGTAGAGGGTGGGAAGGGATAGACTGGGATTTCAAAATTGTAGAATAGACAAACAAGATTACACTGTATAGCACAGGGAAATATACACAAAATGTTATGATAAATCACAGAGAAAAAAAAACTTTATTTCAGATCTTTTCCAATTTTTAACGAAAAAGAAAATGAGCAACACTAAAAGGTATTAGCAAAATAAGTAAGGTAGACTCTGCAGGGGTACTTTTATGTTTTATCTGGTATAAGTGCTATTTTTGAACAAAATATTACTTCAAATTTGTAAGCCTCTTAAACTGTCGCTAGTATGTCTTGTAATACACCCTAAAGTTTCCAATATATTATAAGCAAGTTTGTTGCTCAAAAGGAGAGCCTGCTTAACCGAGAAACACTTGAGAAAATGATGAATCTCAGTCATTTTATTGCATCGTTTGTGTGTCTTTTCCCAAAAGCTCTCCATACCTGCTTTACAGGTAAAGAAACAGACACGGAGGTTAAGAAATGTGCCCCAATTCCTCTGAAAAGACTAAGTGGAACAAAACTGAATTCAGATCCGTCCACCTGGGTCCTGTTCGTCTTAGTTGTTCTAACCTGGTAAAGCAAATTTCACTTCATGAACTAAGCACTTATTCTACTTTTATAGCACTTAATTATTTATTCATTCTTCATCCGTTCAGCTACCATTTATTGGATGCATACTATATTTCATACACTGTCCTAGGCGCTGGGAATGCAGACTGAACAAGACAGACATGAGCCTGACTCTCCTGGATTTACAGTATTGGCGGGGGAGGAAAGCGGGAGAGCGAGACTGGAAGGAAGACAATAAACAAACCGTTTCTGACGGTGCTGCATGCTGCAAAGAAAGTAAAAAGGGATAAA